TACGTATATATGTGCGTTTATGTGCGTACACGTGTTAAGGGAAACCTTTCGTTCCCCTGAGAAATTGTCAGATGAGAGAGAGAGAGAGAGAGACAGAGAGAGACAGAGAGAGAGAGGAAGAGAGAGAGCGAGAGAGAGAGAGAGAGAGAGAGAGAGAGAGAGAGAGAGAGAGAGAGAGCGAGAGAAGAAAGCGCGAGGAGAGAGAGAGAGAGAGAGGAGAGAGAGAGAGAGAGAGAGAGAGAGAGAGTGAAGGGGAGCGAGCGTTGTCCCTAGTTATTAACCCGGTTCTGCATCCAGCTTCTAGATTTAACTGTTGATTGATTGTTATCCTAATATTATTATATTATTATATCATTATTATTATTATTATGTTATGGCCGTGTAGTCGTGCACTTGTACATAGCATCTTGCTAGTGTTGTAAAGTTTATTTTAGATTTTATCTGGTTGCCAAGCAACGGTATATAATGATAACGGTATATTACGCCGGTTTTCTCACCGGCATGGCGTAGCATGCTAGTCTGTCATCTGATGTGAGGAAGAGAAGATGAGCGAGAAGAGAGAGAGAGTGTGTGAGAGAGAGAGAGAGAGAGAGAGAGAGAGAGAGAGAGAGAGAGAGAACGAGCGAGAGAGAGTAGCAGACGCGGAAACTTGGTTGTGGTGATAATAATGATAACTTGTTGTGTTTTGTTTTACTCTTTTGTGATCAGTTTTTCGCCGTCTGCCAAATCATTATTGACTATTTGAATCGTCTGTAGATATACGCATGCGTTGTAATAACGACCATCACGTGCGTGCGAGCGGGTCACGGTGGCGTCTGACGTGACGTTGCTAAGCAACGAGATGCTGCAAAAGTGTGTTGATACGTCTAGAAAGTGTGAGATGCGAATATTGAGATTGTGTGATACGTATGGAGAGAGTGTGATACATCGTGCCGACGTCTATAGCGGGAAGGGTGTGATACACGCATGCACACGCGCGCGCCCGCACGCACACACAGATGGAGAGAGCGCGCTCGCGCGTGCGTGTGCGTGGTGTGTGTGTGTTTATGCGTGCGTGTGTGCGTGCGTGCGTGTGTGTGTGTGCGTCGCGCGCGCGCGTGTGTTCATGTGTGCGTGCGTGGGTGGGTCTGTAACTTCTTCATAAGAGATGTGACATAGGTGTAAAGATTAGTCCACATTGTCAATGTACTGTATATCCCCACACCGTATATCTCCCCCAGTCCGTGCATTTGGGGGAGGAGCTCTGAGACAGCACTGGCGAATTGGTCAATCGTCGCATGATTGGCAGGCAGCTTTAGCCAATCAACGTTGTGATAGGACGTTCTAAAACGAGTGCTTAGCAAGGAAGTTGTGCAAAGTGACAATGTCAACGACGGTCAATGTTCGGACGTGAAAAGCACGTGCAGACCAGTGTGTTAGCCAGCGCCCCTTTACCCGTCTTTTGGACGGCCTATTCTTGGATGAGACGGATAAAATTTGATAGAGACGGCATGAGGGCGGCCCATTTTATATATATACACCTGTATAACTGACAACAGTGCTTATGAGAATATAAAATCATATCAGATTCCTGTCGTTTCGGCATTTCAGACTAAATTTCCTCCATTTTAAGGTAAGGCCCTCCCATTGGGCGCTTCGTGCCCGCAGCATCCTCGCTTCGCTCAGATGGTGAGACTCCCTGCATTTTTTTTCCTGGCTAACACTCTGGTGCAGACCGAGTGAGATTGGCTTATACCTGGCATGGTGGTGGTTAGGGTAGGCGTGTCGTCAGGTGAATGTTGCATTCTACATAATGGCAGGTCAGGGGACCAGGAGGACGAGGAGGGGGAGGGGGCGGTCACTTTTGCTGTGAAGCCTTGCTTCAACGTCGTGCAGCGTGCTGGCTACCCTTAACCATTCAGCGTGCGTGCGTGCGTGCGTGCGTGTGTGTGTGGGTGTACATGTATGTGTGCGTGCATGCGTGCGTGCGTGTGTTCGTGTAGGCGTGCGTGTGAGCGTGTGTATGTGTCTGTCCCGTGTCGAGAAATGAGGAGGGCAGGAAGTGACGTCAGCACTCGCGCGTAGTGATTTATTTGGTAATTTTCTGCGTCAGCGTGATGCACAATCTTTGTGTGACGTCAGTGCTGTGACGTCACAAAAATCATCGTGAACCAAATGTAAAGTGAATGTCGAGTGAGATTATATAGCGATTTTTAACCGGTTAGACTGCCGTGCGCTTCGGTGCCGGAAGCACGCGAAGTATTGGTACGGTGAGCTGAGCGGCAGTCTATAATAAACAGATTCAATTATTTATGATTTTACTTGGCGACCGTGTACGACGACTCGTATAAGATTTGTAATATAAGAGCGCACTAGTACGAACTATTATGATAGAGTGTAGAGGTGTTCAATCTGCTGTTTACAAATTGTTAATAATAAAATAATAATAATACTGTCATGTAAATAGATGCTAGTGCGTGGTTTTATTTTTTGTGGTGTTGCGCTCGTTAGTAGATGGGAAATGTGTGACGTGTGCGCGGGGAGAATGATGTAGGACAATGATGTAGAACAATGATGTAGAACAATGGCGTAGGAGAATGATGTAGAACAATGATGTGGGATTGATGTAGGGAAATGATGGAGAACAATGAGGTAGAACAATGATGTGGGACTGATGTAGGACAATGATGTAGAACAAAGATGTAGGACAATGATGGCGGACCATGATGTAGAACAAAGATGTAGGACAATGATGGCGGACAATGATGTTGGACAATGATGTAGGACAATGACACTGCTGACTAGGAGATATTCACAATGAGCAGCAGCAGCAGCAGTCCATGCACCCTCATTGCTGATCTATGCACCGTGGCCAAATGCAGCAAAGCGTGTTGTAAGCTGACCGCTAAAAAAGCCTGCGCATACCCTGTCAATCATCGGTAGGGGCGTGGTTCTGGTGGTATTGCTCCTTTAACGAACTTTTATAGATGTCATCTACAAAACAGCCGACATTGAAACTTTACCCTTTACGATATTATGATCATTAATCGAAGATACATTTGTATAATCAAGTTATGATGGTATGATCATGATAATGATCATATAATCATGATGATGGCTAGGGTAGGGTAGGGACGAGTAGGGCAAGACGTGATAGGATAGGATCGAGGAGTATATGGAACATGGAAAGGAGGTTAGAGTTTGGTAGGCTTGCACACGAGTAAGATAGGGAAGGCCTAATGCTAATGTTTGGATTAATGCAAAACGAGAAAAACGTATCAAAACGGCTGCAAAACACGCTTTAATTAATAATCATTATATTTTACTCAATTAAAAATAAACGTTCATGCACAGCATTTAACAATGTTTCAATCGCACACATCGTATCATATCACAATATATATATATAGAGAGAGAGATCTAACGATGCGTCAAATCCTATGGTCAAATCACATCCATCGTATTATTTGTCAACCCATTCACGAATTTTAGCATGTTGAATAGATAGCATGTCGAATTTATCACCTCTAAACTACAACTACAAGCTTGACCTTAACTATTACTACACACTGCTATGTGTATATAGGGGCCTACAATAGCTGGATAGTATCCTACCACAGCGTTGCTAGCAGATTAGGTAACTCGGATGCCGTTTAGGTCGATCCGGAAACGGTTTTAAGCATGGTAGTATATCGGTGGATATCTACGATACAACATGTACATACATAGTATCCTATATACTCGGATATATCGATGAATATAAAAACGTGCGTTGCAACCATAGAAATAATATAGGTAGACTTAATATATATATATATATATATATATATATTATATATATATATATATTATAGGTAGAATAATATAAGGTTGGGTGTCGTCGATAAATTTTCTATGGTTAGCAACCAATGTGAACGCTAACGCATTGTCCAGCCCTGGTAATCACTTCGAGTTTTGGGTCGACCAAGTAGGCGGGCCACTGTCACGAAATAATAATCAGCACAGCCGCATAATAGCGCGCTATACTTTATATATATATCAATATCTATATTATAATATATATATATAGTATATTCGGGGCATTTACGCGACGGACAAGCGGTATTGATACATACTATGTGCTGATCGCTGACAGCCTAGACTAGGAAAACTAAGTTATTCTTATGACTAAGTTATTCTTATTGCTATGCCGATAGGTCGCGCTTCATATGGCGGAGGTCTGTGCCTGCAGTGGTCGCGCTGATACGCGACTGTTAGCCATCGGTCCTTTATTTATGTTTAGCACGCGCACTAGGACGCTGCTGTCTCGCACTCCTGGAGGCAGGGAGACGGTAGATGCGCGGCGTTTTCATGGACCGCGCGCGCTTACATGCACCACGAAGCCTTATATGGTGGCGACACTAAAGAAGTCCTGTCATTCACGTCTGTCTGTTTATTTGTCCGTCTTTCTGTCTTTTGTCAGCCTGTCAGTCATTCCCCTCTCGTTTTGATCGGCCTATGTAAAAAAACGTATTTATATAGCAGACCTATATATATATATATATATATATAATGAGATCATCGTAATATCCACGTATGCCATGTCGCGCGTAAATAAGATAATCTGGCGTAATATATATATATATATATATATATATATGTATATATATAGTTTCATTATACCCTTATTGGTCATCTGCATAAATAATTATTGGATAATAATGCATGGTAATTTTTGGTGTATTAGTATCAATAATTATGGACTCCTGATAAGTATGAAATACACGAAACTCATGTATCGCGATCGTGCGTGTCCGTGCGTGCGTCCGTCAGTGTATCTGCGTGCGTGAATGCGTGTGCATGAGTGTGTATGTGCATGTTTGTACACGCGTACGCGTGTGTGTTGTGTGTGAGCGTGTGGTCGTGTGTCTGTATGTGTGTGTGTGTGTGTGTGCGTGCGTGCGTGTGTGTGTGTGTGTGTGTTGTGTGCGTGTGTGCGTGTGTGATCGTGCGTGCGCGTGCGTGTGTGTCGTGTGTGGTCGTGCGTGCGCGTGCGTGTGTGTCGTGTGTGGTCGTGCGTGCGTGCGTGCGTGTGTAGTTATCGTGAGATGAGATGGTTAGAAGTAGACGTTGTCGTTCTCGTTGACGCCTCCATACGCCGGGTTGTCATAGTGAGAACTGCCGACAAGGCCCGTCTCCTGAAACATCAAACATTGGCCGTGTGAGTCGCCCTCACATAACACTCTCCCCATTACATCTTCAGGGCCGTAGCCTGTGGGGGGCAGCTGCCCCCACAAAATTGTGCAGCAAAATTAAACAAAAAAATTGTTCTACTAAAAGAGAATTGTCGTGGTCAGAATGAAGGCTGTACATGTACCCAAAAGTGCCTCAAATACCATCCCCTGCGATCTACATTTTCAAAATTTTCTGAGGGAGGACCCCCAGAACCCCACCTGTATCTCACCCCTCCTTGAAATCCTGGATCCACTACTGCCCCCCCCTAAAAATTTGCTCAGCCTACGGCCCTGATCTTCCCATCTAACATCAATCAATTCCGCGCTGCGGCATTGCACTTGGATGGATACTCGATTGGGTTGCGATTGAATTCTACGATGCTTCCTAACATAACACACCCTCGGCATCGGATAGTTGCACCTTGAAGTAATAAGCTGACTTATTTCTCACTACGTCCACTCTTCACTTCACGATACACTACGATACTAATTTTCGGGAGTATCGTAGTTTATCGTATCGAGGCTTCCGCACTCCACCACCTCGCACACGATACACTACGATACTTCAAATCATCGCGGCTGTATCGTAACGTATGGCGTCGGCACCTCCGCTCCTCCATCCCTCACTCACTCACATCGCTTCTCCTTTTGTCGTAGCGGTCGTCAGCGGCGGCGGAGTCATTCGGAGACTTGGCGCTGATGTGTGCACGGGGGAGGTTTATGTTTCCCGTGGAGGAGGGAGACGGGTACGTCTCGGAGTAGACATAGTCCGGTATCTCATTGTCGTACGTACCAGCCGATTTACGTCTGAAACACGCATAAATATTACGTCATCAGGGGTGTCATAATATAGACATATATTACGTCATGAAGAGCGTAATAATATAGATACAAATATAATGTCATCAGGAGTGATATAATATATACATATATTATACATAGAAATATATATACTATGGACATATAATCTATAATTATTATGACACTCCTGGTGTTATTTTATCGTTGGTGTTGGCTCACACTCGCGGAAGGGAGGTTATACTGGCCATTAGCAATGAATACTAAGGGTGTGGGTAGAAGGGAAGGGGTTAGTCGGTGGAGTTGGGGGAGCAGGAGTAGGCTATGGGGTAGTAGGGAAGGCGCTAGCAGGGGGGGCTGGGAGGGAGGTAGCGGAGGTGGCAGGGATATGCTGGGGTGAGGTGGGGTAGTAGGGAAGGCGTTAGCAGGGGGGGGGCTGGGAGGGAGGTAATGAAGGAGGTGGCCAGGATAATGTAGCTGCGGTGAGGTGGGTTAGTAGGGTTAAGGCGTTAACAAGGGAGGGAGGGGCTTGGGAGGGAGCAGTTGTAGCGAGGGTCGCCGAAAACGGGTGGGGCTCCGCTTGGGAGAGTGAGTAGGAAAGGCGTTAGACAAAGGGGGTTCTTGGAGTGGAGTAGGCGGAGAGTTGTGTGCGGCAAGGTGATATGCTAGGGTGGGTGGCGGTGTACTAGGAAGGGGCGTTCAGCAGTGGGGTTGGGAGGCCGCGCTAGGTGGGGTTTTCTGCAGATGAGTGTGCCAAGCCCGCGTATTAGGACTGGGTTAACTTGGGCCTCTTCGTTCGCAGTTGGGGTGGGTAGAGGAAGGCTGTTATTAACAGCCGGGGAGGGGGGCGTACTGGGAGGGAGGTACGGAGATGGCAGGAATATGCTGGGGTGGGGTGTGGGGTCCGGGGTAGGATAGGAAGGCGTTAGCAAGGGCTGAGGGGATAGGGGTAATGGGATAGGAGCGGAGTGTGGGAAATGCGGGAGCGTAAGAGGAATGGTAGAATTACTGGTGCTGTACAGCGTGATTCCTCGATGCTAGATTACTCTTCTTACTCTTACGTCAAGTTTTATTACCGCGAGACGGCAACAAAAATAGATATTGCGTAGAAAAGACGTGCTGTGAACCAAGGCCTATATATATATATATATATATATATACACAGACATGTATAAATCAGGAGTAGCTAATAGGGAAGGAGTGTGACTTTAATAAAAAGGAAAATCGTGCATTTACTAGCCTAGACTTACCTACTCCTGATATATATATATATATATATATATATATATATGTTTATATCTATAGGCCTTGCTGTAAACGTGTGAAGAGTAAGAAGTGAAGGTCAAGCGAACAGCCAATAGATACAAACGATGGGAATCACGTGAGATCACGGAAGATCAAGCTTGTCTACGAGCTTCACTCCAGATTATTTCTACCTGTGTAGCCTCTCTTTGCTCTCGCTACACGAGAAAATCCTATAGCAGGAGCAATGGAGCTACGCGGGTAGAGTTAACCCCAGATAAACATGCGTGTAAAATATGCACATGCCACGTGTATCACTATGCGAAGTGTAAGGGTATATCTAGTAGAACAGTAACGTGCAATGGTATGCTTAAACGTCGCATTCAATATTGCAGCTTACAGAATGGCCTGGAACAACAGGAATGTTGTCCAATAACCTTCAATCTATCGCTAGCTAATCATCTTCGATCTATTGATAGCAATCTCATCAAGCAGAGTTCACCAACATATATCATAGTCACATTATACAGTCACATTTCACGCTCACATTTCACGAGCACGTTTTACGATTACATTCTATACCTATTACAAGCACATTCCAAAAGCACGTTTAATAAGCACATTTGAATCTAGGAAGTCTCACAAGCACACTACGCACTAACACGTTTTACGAGCACGTTTTACAAGCACAACTCACTAACAAATTTTGCGAGACTGTATACAAGTACGTTACACAAGAACAACTCACTGACACTTTTGACACATTTAATACACATTTAATATATTTGATACGAGTATGTTTAACAAGCACAACTCATGCAGCTCACCTCGTTATTGCTATTGTCTCGTCAGGTATAGCTATACTGTGCTTAGCCCCTCTAATCCGTACGGACGCATGAATACAAAATGGCCGCGCTTGTTTGTAGTTACATCTTATGACGAATCTTATAAGCTAACGACATCTTATACGCTAACGACTGCCTAACATTAACAAGCGTGTTGACCGATACAGCAACATCGGGCAACACCGGGCAACAATAGGCAACAGTGGGTAACACCGGGCAACATCAAGCAACAGCGCGATCCAGCAATGAACCAAAAGGGAGAAGGGGGCCCAGAACCAGAACCACTTGCAAGGGGGGATTTGGAGGAGCGCTGCAAGTGCCCTCTAGCGAGGTCCATGCGCGGGTACTAACACTTAAGGCGGCAGGTTTACTCCTTAACGAGTACTATATTTGAAAAAAAACATATTTGATTACTTAAAGGTTTGAAATACTCAATAAATGACCGATTCGTGTTATTCATTCGTTTTCTGGTATTGGGAATAAGAATAAATCTTGGATGGTAATCTTCCACCATCATGCAAACACACCAAACACGCGCACAAACTCACACCCGCCCGCACGCAGGCACATGTGCAAGCGTGCACGCAAGTACCCCACGCACGCACGCAAGTACCCCCCCCCCGCGCCCACATACACATGTACACAGGTACACACGCGCACACACACGCACACACACGCACGCACGCACACACATGCACACACACGCACATCCACGCACACACACACACACACACACACACACACACACACACACACACACGCGCGCGCACATCCACGCACACACACACGCACCAACACACACACACACACACGCACGCACAAACGCACATGCACGCACGCTCGCCCGAATTGTCTGCGAACAACAAATGCGCGTGCACGTCTTCGCACGAATAACGCACTCATTCTAAAAATCTACGCGCAAATGAGTAGCAATCAAACACCTGTATAAACCCAACTCAACAATTAACTCTATACACTAGTTATGATCACAGTAACGATCTAATAAATATATTCGCATGCAGTGGCTACGCGTCGTTAATCCATTACAAAGCTCAGCACAGATTCCCAAATCACGTCACGATTAGGCCACGCCCCCTTTAAAATCGGTGATTTTACTGGATTTACTCTTGCTTCAAAAGTTACAAAAACACATTTTTTTGATAATATGCCTAAAGGTAAGTAATATTATGGTAAATACTTTTTGTTTGTTTTTTACTGAAAAAATATAGTTGGGTTCACATAAGAAATATATGACCGGACGCGTAGCCTGGGAGCTGGGCGTCCGGTAACCGGACGCGTAGCCACGGTCTAAATAAATTATATGCGCTGGAATGAGAAACAGACGCAGACACGCTAGTGCGGCGGGTCGTCAGGAGGGGGCGCTGCTACTCGTATTCGGTGACGATGGTGTTACTGCGGGTGTGGTACCTGACGACGAGGACGACGATGACGATGATGGTGATGAGGCAGAGCGTTGCCAGGCCAACGCTGACGCCGATGGTCACCTTCTTCCAGTCTGAAATGTCACGTTCATCGATGCATTAATCCTCTCATTATTCCTGTCCAAGTACACCAGCACGCACGCACGCACGCACACACGCACGTACGCACGCACGCACGCACGCACGCATGCACACACGCATGCACACACACACACACACCGTGATAGCTAGCAGACTTACAGTCAATCTTCTTGAAGCATCCCATCGTCGGATCTCCCTCCCATCCGTCCGCGCATGCGCACGTGAAGTTGCCTGGCGTGTTGATGCACATTGTGTGCTCAGCAGCGCATGTCACGTTGCCCGACTCACACTCATTCACGTCTGTAAAATACGCACGCGTTACACGGTACACGCACGCACGCACGCACACATTACATATTACACGTTCGCACACGTTACACGCACGCACGCACACGTAACATGTTACACGCACGCACACGTTACACGCACGCACGCACGCGTTACATGTTACATGTTACACGCACGCGCGCACGTACGCACACATTACAGCACGTACGCACATATCGCGAATATTCCTGGATCGTCGATGATAATTCGGAATAATCACGGATAATACCGAACAATTCCGGATAAACTTAGGTAATCCCGGATGATCCCCCACTATCCCGGAGAATGACGGACAATCCGGGATTTCCGGATCACATCTCGGGTGATCCCGGATTAATCCAATCCGAGACTATCCCGAATAATCTTCCCATTCATGCCGGATTCGACTCGACGATAACCTGCACGTTCCTCCATACGTACGCAGCGTTCATGCTGCGATAGCCTGCACGTTCCTTCATACGTACGCAGCGTTCATGCTGCGATAGCCTGCACGTTCCTTCATACGTACGCAGCGTTCATGCTGCGATAGCGGGCACGTACCTTCATACGTACGCAGCATTCATGCTGCGATAGCGGGCACGTACCTTCATACGTACGCAGCATTCATGCTGCGATAGCGGGCACGTACCTTGACACACTTCGTACGTGTCCAGAACCAGTACGTCGCTGAAGGACGCGTATCCGTCCGTGCACGTACAGAGGGCGTAGCCCGGGCTGTCTTCCTCGCAGTCCGTGTTCGCCGGACAGTCCATGGAATCTACACACGGATCCGCCGCTCGCACTACAACGTACAGATGCAGAATGCAGTGCATGCAGAAACTAACTTTCTCTCCGCCCGCCTGTTGGAGTATTAAACCGCATGTCTGTGCATCCGTCTGCCTGTTATTCCATCTGTCGATATATCTTCGCCCGTCCGATCTAACGAATGATCAGTTTTTGGAGGCAGAAATTTATCATTTACACCATAGCTGGCGGTCGACGCAATATTGGACTAAAAGTGCAGACATCTACGGCTTATATATTATATATATATATATATATATATATATATATATAATTATAGTAAATAAATAAAATAAATAAATTAATAATAATATATATATATATATAATATATATATAGAGAGAGATATTAGATATGTGTATTAGTTAGCCTGTGATGGCAGTCTTATCAAACAACCCAGAATCGCTTCTCCAGCTGCACAGGACTATTCATCGTCTCCTATGCAACATGATGCGGACGCTTGGCCCCAGGGAATCGTTTGTTACAGCGGTGCCGGCAGGTGACATCTATCGACTGAACTCCGTCATTCGGACAAAGAGGAGCCGAGCAGTCCTAACGACCGACACATTCCCGCTGCTGCCAGACACGAGGATGAGGCAAGAGATGAGATTAGCGTGAAAATTCTATCACCGTCGTTTCTCGTTATTGTATCGCCCCGAACGAAAGTCGTGGGATACTATGATTGTTTTATATTATTTTTCTTTTCGTTATTAGTGATTTATTCAATATATGGAAGAATATTTTGAATGATGGATTCAACGTTTAATTAAAATAATAGTTAACCTGAGAGAGTTATGAAAAAGTTTTTCAAGACGTCCATTCGTTCATGTAGATTCGTGTATGTGTGTGCGTGTGCGTTGTGCGGTGTGCGTGGTGGCCGGTGTGCGGTGCGTGTATGTCCTGCGCGCGTGTTGTGTGTGTGTGTGGTGTGTGTGGTGTGTGTTGTGTTGCGTGTTTGTGCGTGTGTGTGTGGTGGAACAGAGAGAGAGAGAGTGCGCGCGTGAGCGGGTACGTGTGTGGGTCTTGCGTGTTGTCCGGGCGTCGTGTCCCGGTACGTGCGTGCGTAAGCCATGTGTGACGTGGTGACAGCACTAGCAGCTACTAAGGTAGTAGGTGAACTAGCATAGGTAAACTTACCTAAAACTCCTATGTTCTGTTCTATGATAGAGTGATTGGGGATAGGCTTCTGGTAAGATGTTCCCCATCTGTAGGTGAAAAACAAAATATATCTATGAGAGAGCCTATATAAATACCGGACATTTATCGATAATATATTATATCTAAGTGATATATATATATATATATATATGACAACGTGGACGCACGCACACACACAACAAACAGGCACGCAGCACGGGAACACGCGTGTGCGACGCACGCAAAGCCTCACGCACAGCACACACGGCGCACACAACGCACCCGGCGGCCGAGGCTCGTGGGCTGGCACGCTCGGCTCGCAACACACGCACTCACACAGCAGGCACGCAGCACCCGCTCATGTGTTCACGCACGCAAAACAACACGCACACACATCACACCCGTGCCAGCGCACGCAACAAAGGACCGCGCGCAACATTGCGAGCGACCGCACGCCACTCACGACAAAACAGGCACGCCACACGACGCGCTTGTGGCGCACGCCCGGCAAGCACACGCACACGCATACACACGCACCTCGTGCCACGCACGCAACAACGCAACACTCGCACGCACGCACTCTCACAAAACAAGCACGCACGGCATGGCACGCAACGCACGTGACACACCCCCCGTGCACGTAGCACACAGCACTCGCAGCGCGCGCCCACAACACCCACACTCACACCGCGCGGCAACACCTGCGCACGCGCACACACACTCGCACACACACAGGGTCGCGCTGGCACTCCACCGCTGCGAATGAACTCGTGGCGGTGTCGTCGTACGCCTCCCGTCGGCTGCCTGTTTCAGATCGGTCGCTGACTGTTGGTTAGTCACCGGTCACCGTGCCACGCAGTCCACGTTACATGCTCACGGCAAAAAACACCCACGCCAGGCTCACACCGAGCCCCTCAAGACACAACGGGTGAAAGCATCATAAAGGTGCAATACTCCAAACACGGGTCAGAGGTGAAACGGGTCAAAATGTCACCCAGGTTTTAGAGGTCAAACACGGGTCCCAAGGGTGAAAACGGGGTCAAATGTTAAACAGGTGTTAGAGGTCAACACGTCAGATGTCAAGCAAGGCGTCAGAGGGTCAAGACACCGGGGTCAGAATGTCAAGCACCCGAGTCATGAGCGAAACACGGGAAACCCACTCATCGCATCTGACTCGTTTGATCTCGAGTGTAAGCATGAAATTAATACACAATAAAGTAATTAAGTGTATATTAATTATTATTGTTATCGACAAGAGCTAATAAATACCTTATAAGGTACCTTATAAATACCTTATTTAGGTACCTTATAAATACCCTTATAATACCTTATTTAGGTACCTTATAAATACCTTATAAATACCTTATAAATACCTTATAAATACCTTATAACGTACCTTATAAATACCTTATAAGGTATTTATTAGCTCTTGATATCGAATTACCCC